GGCGGGCAGAACAGCCAGAGTCAAATTCTGAAGCTTAAAGTCTTCCTTCATCACCATAAACATGATCGCTTTTCTGTCCTCGCCTACCTACAGGCGGCATATCAGAAGCGATCGTAAGAACCCTGAAACCTATCCACAGTTCAGTGTACTTTCTGGAGTTAGCCAACAGGGCCCAACACAGGGAACTTACAAGTATTATAAAAACTGGAGTCTTTGGGGGCAATATTCGACAAAAGATCAAGAAACCACCAAGAAACAAATCAGCTATGACACACCCTCATATCCTGAAAAGATTTTCTTTAAAAATAAGTTAGTTTTAACCCTGGCCAAAGGATTGGTTAAAAGCTTGGACTGCACTTCCACCCTTTGAAGAATGCTGACCAAGAAGATGGAATATTATAAGCACCTGTGTACTTACCACCCCAGCCACACGCGATACAAGAAGCTCGCTGTAAGAGCTACCCCTGTCATTTCCTACAGCACTGACTTTGCATGCATGCATGCCTTATAATTCTACAGTTAAGTGTGTTTAGAATTGTTAGACCTTAAGTTAACCTGTAAGCCCCACCTGCCCAAAGACCAGGTAACTTCCTGGAATGCTGGGAGCTGTCGTTCTTGGAAAACAACAACAAAGCCTAGTTGCAGAGTATGACGCCCTATGTATGGGCTTTTGTCCATACAAGTCCCAACAATGTGTCCCAGGGCCACTGGGCTGTGAAGTTTCCAAGTGGTGGTACTGACCACATTCCATCCTGATCAGCATTTAGTATCTTAATAAAAGCATGCTTCAATTTGGCCAAAATAGTGGGAACTGGTTTTTCTCTGGTGATGTAAGGATTAACAGAAATGGCAGAAATTCCTTGTATCTTTTCACATTTTATAATGTAAAACGCTGCCTTCCCTCCGGGACTTGTTCATCCCTGTGTTTGGCCTGCTGTTTAGCCCTCCTTTGCATAGCCCTGTACCAATGACTTTGACAGACTGCTGGGAGAGAAGGAAGGAAATGGAAGAAAAAGGCGCTCTGGGAATCAGGGAACTAAAGCCTCCATTGAATGGAAAAGAGAAGCTAAAATGCACCTAATACAGCAATCTGGAGCTGAGATAAGATTTGAGGCCTTAAAGAAGATTAGAGCTGGGAGAGGCTCTGGGGAACCCAGCTGAGGTCACCTTTTATCTAGTAACATCTTGCCTAGAAGGCAGCTCCCTAGCTTTTCCTGCCTCTTGCTCTCTGCACTAGAGAATGAAGGTCTTAACCATCTCTGCCACCTTTTAAACTTATATAAGGTCACAGTCTTCATGTTAGCTCCCATGGAAATGATTACAAGCAAAACATTAGAGGAGATCTGAACCATATTTTCTAGGAAATATCATATGCTTTCATAATCTCCCAATCATGAGAAAACAGAATACACACACACACACACACACACACACACACACATGCACTTTTAGGGCTGTATAGATAAAAGTTATTTTTAGCTTATCAAAACAATACCAAAAAGTATAAAGGTAACAAATACTGTAAGTTTTCAAAGTGATGGAAAAGCAATTTTAAAGTAAAACCTTCAAGACACAAAATTATAAGCAGCAGGTTCATCAAACTAAAGTGGCCCCTTTTGAGGGAACAGCCCCTCTGACAAGTTCAGCTGCTGGTGGCTTTGGGAGCAAGGACATAAGGCCTATGCTGAGGCCTGTGCAGTTTGCTCACTGCTAACTGGAAAGAGAGGGACTCAACCAACAGCAGGAGGGGGGTTGGGGGAGGGTTTGGGGGTTGGGGAGGGTTGGGGGTTGGGGAAGTTTGTGGAGGGTTGGGGGCCTGGGGGAGTTGGGGGTTGGGGAGGGTTGGGGGGGATTGGGGGAGGGTTGGGGGGCCGGGGGTTGGGGAGGATTGGAGGGTTGGGGGGATTGGGGTTGGAGGTTAGGGGGATTGGGGGGGTTGGGGAGGGTTGGGGAGGATTGGAGGGTTGGGGATGGGAGGTTGGGGAGGATTGGAGGGTTGGGGGTTTGGGGAAGGTTGGGGGTTAGGGGGGTTGGGGGTTTGGGGAGGGTTGGGGGAGGGTTGGAGGGAGTTGGAGAGGGTTAGGGAGGGTTGGGGAGGGTTGGGGGGTTGGAGGGGGTTAGAGGGGGTTAGGGAGGGTTGGGGAGGGTTGGGAAGGGTTGGGGGGTTGGGGGAGGTTTGTGGAGGGTTGGGAGCCTGGGGGGAGTTGGGGGGTTGGGGAGGGTTGGGGGGATTGGGGAGGGTTGGGGGGCAGGGGGATTGGGGAGGATTGGAGGGTTGGGGGGATTGGGGTTGGAGGTTAGGGGGATTGGGGGGTTGGGGAGGGTTGAGGAGGATTGGAGGGTTGGGGGTGGGGGGTTGGGGAGGATTGGAGGGTTGGGGGTTAGGGGGGTTGGGGGTTTGGGGAGGGTTGGGGAAGGTTGGAGGGGGTTTGGAGGGTTGGAGGGAGTTGGAGAGGGTTAGGGAGGGTTGGGGAGGGTTGGGGGGTTGGAGGGGGTTAGAGGGGGGTTGGGGAGGGTTGGGGAGGGTTGGAGAGGGTTGGGGAGGGTTGGGGAGGGTTGGGGGGTTGGGGACACAATCTTCCAGCAGAAGAAGGAGTCGAAGGCACTACCAGGAGGCAGTTTTGGCCTGAACAAGCTCAGGAAGTGGCGGCAGAGCAATCATGTACTGTGGCATCAGCTAAAATCCACACCTAAAAAAAGCCATGTGCTGCTGTCCTTCATTAGCCTTGCATTTAAATGAACCTGGCACTGTTTTTTAGAAGCATTTCTTTTTCTCAGTGTCATGAAGGACCAAGCATGCAGAAAATAATTACTGGCCCTCTGTGTGGCATCCACTGAGGATACTGAGGGCCACGGGGTTCTGAACAGTCACATCAGGCACTGTGAATTCTTTGAGGGTAACTTTGGCAAATATAAAATTGTGTTTATTAAGGGGGGTGATTCGTTTGGAAATATTAATTTTAACAAAATTCACTGAAGTAGGTAGCTTTGTGTTGACCTGTCTGACTTGATTCATTCTTCCACGAAATAAATCAATTGATTTTTATGAAAGAAGGGACTTTAAATGCCCTGTATAATTCAAAGCAAGACTCCAAATATACTCATTTCATTATTAATGGTTCCATTTTCTCAAGTGAAGAAATACATACTTTCTCTAGAATGTGTTTTCACATCCTTCAGGGCCATCAGCTACCATTAACAGAGCTGAGATTTCACTGTGAAAGCAACATATGGCTCTTACATAGACAAAATGGATTTCATTCCTTAAGTTGTCTGAGCTTCCAGTAGTTACTGGAAATATGCTAACAAATCCAAAGAACATTACTGTGAACCAAACCAAATCTGAACAAAGTTCCAAAATTTCAAATAAACCATAGAGGAAAAACCCAGAGTGTTTAAGAACTAAATCAACAATAGAGAGAAAATAGGAGTGTTTGCCTACAATGACATCTCATTGAGTTTTCTACCTACTTTTCTCACCTCTGATCTCCCTTTATGATGAGAAATGTCAAAGGTTTGACGTTTGGGAACAGGTGCCTAACCATGATGCAGAAAAAGGAAGCATTCAATCCCAAGGGCACTTGCTAACTAAGGACCAAGCCCTTAGCCTCCAGCTAGGGATGAGGCTAAGGAACTGGTGACAGCAGAGGCAAATCCTGCAGGAAAAGTAATTCCTTATTCACCTGGCAGTCTGAATTTGTTTTGAAAAGGAAAAGGAAAAGGAAAAGACATGAAATGGTCTACAAAGGAAGTTCTAGGACAGCCAAGGACACACAGAGAAACCCTGCCTCAAAAATAAATAAATAAATAGATCAATCAATCAATCAATCAATAAAATAAGAAAGGAAATAAAATGTTTACAGATGATGCTGTTTAGGTTCCTACATACAAAGTCTGAGATTTTCTTAAAATTTCACCCAAAAGATGACAATAGTTGCCATATAGTTTTTTTTGTTTTGTTTTATTTCTCCTCAGTAAATCCTACCTTAAATATTCCTTATAGCTTACATTCTAAATATCTTTAAAAATTAAAAACTTTAAGAGGAACTGCACCATAGATTTCTTCAACACAAACCAAAAGGAAAATCCAAAGAGTTCAAATTCAGCCCGTATAGAATGCTGCTCATGTTAAGAAAGCTATTAGCCGGGCTGGAGAGGTGGTACAGTGGTTAAGAGCATTTACTGCTCTTCCAGAGGACCTGAATTCAACTCCCAACACCCACAACTATCTGTTACTACAAGTCTGACACCCTTACACAGACATACATGCAAATAAAATAAAAATAAATTTAAAAAATTTTAAAAAAGCTGTTAGCCTGTAGGTAGTAAATGAAATATTTATTATTATTATTATTATTATTATTATTATTATTGGTTTTTCAAGACAGGATTTCTCTGCATTGCTTTGGAGGCTGTCCTGGAACTCATTCTTTAGACCAGGCTGCCCTCGAACTCACAGAGATTCACCTACCTCTGCCTCCCGAGTGCTGGGACTACCAACATAACATGCAAATTAATATAACTGTTTTGTTTTGTTTGTGCAAATATGAATTTGCCTTAAAAGAGAAAGTTGGAGACTCATGACCAAGAAGGTCTGCTGCAAATCTACTCTTTGAATAGAAGTATTACTTGTGCCCTTTCGGTAAAACCTGGACCTAAGAGCAGGGAGTACAGAAAACTCAAAGACAAAAAGATCCGTAACATAAAGAACAGCCAGAGATTTTCAGAATACATGGCCAATCATTAACTTCTGGCTAAGGTTACCTGTATCATCTGTAGTTTAAATCACATTCTTTGCTTGCATTTTTAAAACTTAGGATCCTCCCGCAAATTATAATGAAATCATGACTCTTTCACTTTTATTAATAAATTCAGGTTATTTTGTTTGGTTGATTCGGTAGCTCATCATTTTTTTAATCGACATCAAAGAGCAACAATTCAGAAAATGATCACATTACAAACTACAGGAAAAGAGCAAGGAAAGAGAGACTTCTACTTACAGGCTTCCTCTTCGAGGGAGGCTCAGCTCCTTCTGTAAAAGAAAAGAGAAAATGTATATGGGAGATGCCACACCAGCTGAAGTCATCAGGATGCCAAGTAGCAAGTTTGGACATTCTTTATCAGACCTGAGTTGGCCTCGTCCAGACACCAAAGACTTTGATGACATAATTTTACTTTGAATCCCGCCCAAAACAGCTCTTGTTAAACAAGAAGAGAGGTCTGAAGTGGCTGGTTTATACGACAAGCAATGTATCTGATTTTGTAGCATAAAACCATTCGACCTTTAAAAAAGCAACTTCCATAAAATACTGAGCTGAATCGCATTGCCCTATGACTGAGGAAAGTCAGTAGAACCAGGGGACATATCTAGAAAAGAAATATATAGAAGCAGGAGAAATTTCAGAGGATTATAATTAAGTGAAAGTTGAAATGAAAAGGGCAACTTAATCAGATTATTAAATCAGGCCAACTTACCCTCCAAGGAAACAAATTCAGGCAAAATACTATGCATACCAAATACTATACTTTGTTATTTTAAGGAGAGCCTGCAAAGGGTTTTCTTCTGGAATTAGTTCTCAAAACAAATGGCATTTATTACTTAGGTACTGAAAAGTAGGTTAATGAACCTCTAAAAGGTAAGCCAGACAGTCACAATTACCAGAGTGTTGATATTTCTAAAGTATGCTCTCACACTTATCTCAAATTAAGATCATTATCTTCACAGAGAGGCAAGGAAGAAGGAAACCACAACCAGGCAAGTGAGCCAAGCAAACCACACACAAAATCCTGACTCAGAAATACTTCCACCCACTACGGATGGTCTGGAGGCCCACTCCTGTAGGAGAATTACTTGATGGCAATAGTTAAAGAACAGGAAGCTGTGAGTCAGCAGCAGATTCAAACTCAAAATGCAGTGCACTTCAAAATGAGAGGAGCCCAAATCTGGTTGTTCATCCTCAGAAAACTCATTTATTTGGTGTCTTCCAGAGGTTCCAACACTTTCTTGGAAAAGAATCCCCTCCAGCTTCACACTGACACTGTCTATCCTCTATTTTTATTGGCTCCTGAATGTTCCTCAAGGACAAGGGCCTCAGACATCACTTCTAAACAGTGCAATTTACTCCAGCACAGCTTACGGAAAATGGCTTTGAGAGCACCCGAGGAGAGGCAAGGGAAGATTTGTGACGTGGACTTCAGATACAAAGGTGCTGGCATATGGAGTCCCCATAACACATCCCCGGTTAGTGCTGTGGGAACAATCGGTAATTCCAGAAACGAAGCATCTCCGCCCACACAGCAAACATTCTCTTTGTTTGTTTTTTACATCGTGTCCCCTTAAATCCTTGATTACCCCCCAAGAAATTATAGTGTTTGCTAAGGCTGGCTTCCTGATTCTGAAACGGAAATGCACCTTCATTAACCCAAGACAAGAGGACAGTCTTTCCCCAGAATAGTCTCCTCGGGGCTGAAATGCTCACAGAACACCACCGAACAATTTTCTTTATAGGAATCTTTGGTTTTGTATTTAGGCTTCTCTCTCTCTCTCCTCTCTCCTCTCTCTCTCTCCTCTCTTTCTCTCTCTCTCTCTTCTCTCTCTCTTTCTCTCCTCTCTCTCTTTCTCTCTCTCCTCTCTCTCTCTCTCCTCTCTCTTCTCTCTCTCTCTCTCTCTCTCTCTCTCCTCTCTCTCTCTCTCTCTCCCTCTCTCTCTCTCTCAGGACTCTCTCACAGTCATGATTCATCAGATTGTGTCCTTTAGGAAAGAACTGAAACTCCCTGTACAGCAAATGCCTGGAGCCCAGAAAGTTACCACTTCCGTGGCAGAAACTTGTTTGGATGGCAGCACAGACGATATTAGAGGATTTACTAGTGGGAGCAAGCGAGTAATAAATCAGGTGCCACATCAACCATACATGCAAACAGGAGACTGGGAAGACGGAAGAGTCTTCTCAGGGACAAGTGAATAAGATAGCAATGGTTCCGTCAGTCAGATTCCCTGAAGTGACCCGTCATAAACCGGCCGTTTTGTGCTCAGAAAATAAATAAATAAATAAACAGACAAACAACAAAAACAAACACTGCTGAAATAGCCAGATAAGGGGATAAGAACACACTGGTTTTAATCAGTAGCCCTTCCAACAGATCTGGAGTCGTGTGTTCTAAAAAAGGAGAAACATCACAGTGCCTCCCATAGCTGCCCTGCCCCACAAGCTGGAGCCTGAGCTTCCAGCACGAGGAGGAACAGAGGACATTTAATAGGCCACTGTCAGCTGACCTGAAGCCACCATGCTAACCAAGCTGAAGGAGCTAATCCACCGGACGGCTCCAATGTCAGGCTTAGGATGGGAAACTCAATTTGGTAGCAAATTGGAATCAGATGTGATGGTAATAAAGTGAGTGAAATGAATGTGCTATGGCCAAGACCTTGTGAACAGCAGTCTGCAAACACCACGGGGGTCAGCAATTGCAGGCCGAGCAGGCAGCAGCTACTGCCCTCGTGTACGGAGCCCACACGCTAATAAGTCAGCACAGGTCAGACATAAACGAAGAGCGTCGGGGCATTTTACTGCCTAAGCCCCCATGGTACTCCATGTATGTGTCTTCATTTGATTTCTTTATGTCAGGGTAAGGGCACTAGCACATACATAAGTAATTAGGTAAGACGTGTGGCACTGGCCCAGGCCATAAACCAAAGCTCGAATTTGGTATACAGGGCATGTGTTAAATCTGTATTAGGCAGGAACTCGACGTTGGGGGAGGGGAGTGGGCTACAAATGAAATGAAAGGGGCAAGAAGCATCTATCTGAGCTAAACGTGTTTATTTCCAGATTAAGAACACATTTAAGAAGATTAAAGTTTTTTTTTTTTTTTAAAAAATAATAGTATTTTCATGGACACCACCGTTCACTCTGACTTTGTTTTAGGCTTGTTTTCTGCTTTGTTTGCCTTGTTTGTTTTGAGTTGGGGTATGAGATTGTAGCCCCCGATGGCAATCCTCCTACCTGAGTGTCTCAAGTGCTGGGTTCATAGGCCGTGAGTCACTGGCTTAATATATTTTAGAATGCTATTTATCATTATTTTCTTCACATATTCTTTGTTCTGCTTCTAAGAATGCTAAATAGCTACGTTGAAAATTAGCATAAGGTATAAGTAATCTTTTCTGAGACTTGTCTTTTCCTGACATCTCTTGATAAGGTCGACACTGACCATGCACAGTGTTCATACACGTAACCGCAACGGTAACAAGGCTGAGGCAGGGGGATGTCTTGATTCACTCTGGGCTATAGCAAAACCCCTATTTCAAAGAAAAAAAAAAAGGCATACTGACAGACTGAGGATTCAAATGTCACCTCAAATTTAAGATGAGAACCCAGGCAGAGTTCAGGATGACTAGAGAAGTCCAGCGAGGGAGTGGCCTTTACCAGCCACCTCAGCCTCCGGGGGGAGAAGGAAAACGGTTTGCTTCATTCATAGACGGCAAACTGCAATGTTGTGTATGTCTAAGAAGTCCTCACAGGTGTACTCTAAAAGACATTTACCGTGTTTAAATATTGGGTGCCTATCTATACACAAAGTGACGTCACTACACATTTTTCTGAGCTATCTTTAAAGAGATCAGTAAACTGACGTGGTACCGGAGAAGGGAGATGCCCACCCAGTGCTGCAGATTACCCCCTCCACCATGTTAGCACTTGACTGGCCTTCCCTTGAGGAGGGCTGCATCAGGGACTCTAGTGACCCCCTTCCAGGAGCCCTCTGCAGATACCTCCCTGACCAAATGACCATTTAGCATCACAGGGACAGGTCCTGCTGATTTCAAGTACCCGCTGATGGAGGGAGAGGTCACTTCATTCACCCTTTGGCTGTCTTCCTAAAATTCCCTAACTCCACTGTCATTATGGAAAAGCATCATGCATTCATAAATAGAGAGCCATCCCCAACGCCTGTAAAACAAAGTTCAGAAACCATCAGAGATCAGAGTACGCTAAAGAGGTAGGATGACTAAACACAGTATAGAATCTGGGCTTGGAACCTGGATCATGGAAAGTACATTAGTTCACAGCCCAGTGACAAAACACAGATGAACCGGGAACTGGACGAGGTCACCAAGCATTTAATCCCAGCACCTGAGAGACAGAGACAGGCGAGTCTCTATGAGCTCCAAGCCGGTCAGGGCTACACAGAGAGACCCTGTCTTCAAACCCCAATCAACAAACCTGTCGGTAGTTAAGTGGTTAGTAAAGCACCAGTGTGACCTTCCTAGTCTTGACAAGTGTATCAAGGTTATATAACATGCTAGGTTGGCTTCTGGGGAAGTTGGAACGTGGGTATACAGGAATTCTCTGAACTATCATATTGTAAAAATCTCAATTTACCACCCCATCCCAATTAAAGTAAAGTAATTGGGGGATACTGGGGATGATGGAGGGAAGGGATAAACAAGTAATTATTAAAATATCCAAGCTTATTTGAAGGTTTTATTTAATACTGCCATTTGGAAAACTATAGAAATGGTCTAGATGGGAGGAGACTGTAGAACCAGTAATGAAGATGGCATGGGGTACTCCTCTATGATGAATGCGTCTACACTGTACAAAGAGCCAGATGTGGGGCATTAAAGAAAACATACAGAGAAATCAGAATTAGGGACCAGAGGTACACAGATTCAATGGAAGAGAAGCTTAGCATGAATATGATGTCAAGACTGTCTACATGGGCCTGTCAAACTTAAGTGTCTGCCTAGGCAGATAGATGGACGGATAAATCTAGGCTCAAGAAAGAGGCTGGGAATAGGAACAGACTGTGGAATCCTCAGAACATAGGATGGTACAGAGAGCAATAACCCTGGAGGCAGGAAAGAGAGAAGCATTGTAAGAAGGAGATGAGATGGGCAGGACGCAGACCCACAGAGAACCATGAAGGAGGTACCACGCTAGCAGTAGCTGGGTCTCTTCGAAGCAACAGAAAGGAAAGGAGCTGACATGTAAAGATTGTGTGGGCCCAAACCAGCACGTTCTATGGCAGACAGTGTCA